CCTTCCCACAGGATCAGGCTGATGGAGATCCTGGATGTGACATGAGCAGTCTCAGGTGTCTCAGAGATCCTTAGCATCAGAATTTATGTTGCTGCTATTAATGATATGATTTAATTTCCTGTTGTATTTTTCCATCTCAGCTGCAGCCTTTCCCCCTGCTAGAAAAAGGTTTAAAGTAAACCATTTTTAAATTCTAACCAGTCTGAGCTGAAATTAGAAAACAGAATTTTAAATACTTTGGGAGATGCTGCTAAATTTCCTTTTTAGGAACTTGCACAGTGACCTTTAAGAAATGGTGTGTGGCTTATGCATGACCTACATCTGGAGAGTCCCTTTCCAGAAGCTGGTGACTTTTCCATGGGTGGGGAGAAGTCTCATAGCCCACCTGTCACAGGCCTTTTAAACTTCAAGGTGCTTTTAAAGCAACTGTCCCTGGGGGAGGGGGTGGGGAGTATTAATCCCATTTATCAGATGAGAAAACGGAGACCAGAGGGGTCAAATAACTCCCCCGAAGGCTCATAAAGTGTAAGGAAAGAGCTGGAAGCAGACTCGAGCTCCCAGTTGTGACAGATAAAATGATAACATTGCTGAAGAGAAGGAGGGGGGGAGGGGATGGCTTCATAATGCAAGAGCCTCGGGCTGCACAGAAAAATGAGGAAACAGTCTTACTGCAGGTGGCTCAGCTGGGGGAGCCGGGGTAGGTGTCTCAGCAGGGTGTCCAGGCTCTGGTCGCTAAGCACCACGCAGGACAATCTGTGAAACAGAACATCTGAATGAAGTGGGGAAGCCTTGGGGACAGCTAGGAGCGTGGCCGAGCAGCCAGAGCCTTCTGGGGATGGGTCCTAGGCCAGGGCTGTGCCCTAAACATTCCCTCTGAACACAGGTCCCTCACTTATCACCGAGGCTGGAGGAAGAGGAAGGTCATATACATTTGGGAAATGCTAGGTTTTCTTTGACTTCTCAGAGGAGTGTTTTTTGCAACTATGGCTGCAGTGCTAAAAAACAGAAAACCTGAACCAAAACCAAAACCAAAACTACTGGAAGCACCTGGATGTCTATCTAGACTCTAGGGGGTGGGGAGTGGGGGTGGCTGAATAATTTGTGGTGCATGCAAACTGTGAAGGGTTAGTATTAAAAGGCACAAATATAAAACATGGTGTAAAAACATGTAAACGGACAACTAAACATTGTTGGGGTATTTGATGATTTTAATATGTCATAAAATAATTATATTATTTTATATTAAATACTTTGACTAAATTTAGTTTTAAATCCTAGCTCTGGAAACCATTTTCTCTCTCTCCCTCTCTGTCTCTCTCTCCTCTAAGAGACCTAACCTTTCCCTCAGATAATCAGCAACCTCCGGGGCAGCAGAAGACAGTTGCCCAGACCTTTGTCAGGCTACATTTCACCTCCTGGGCCCTAAGGTGGAATGAATCCTCTGGCTATTTTCCCATGAGATCGGACAGAAGGACACTGGAAAAGACCTCAGAGCTGTCCTCAAGGCCCAAAGAAATGATTCATTACCCTTACCTCATCTCTGCCAACCAATCAGCTCCCAGCACAACCGAAACCCCTAACCCTCCGCATCTTGTGGCTTTGTCCCATAGAATCTGTAACCTATGTGCCATGGGGAGTTCTGCTTTTGAGCTTTAGCTTTGCGTTCCCCTGGGTAACGCCATTCACACCAAAATAGCTAATTGTTCCCCCCTGCAGTTCTCCGTGTCTAGTATTTGATTCTACTAGCACCGGATGGACGAGCTCTATCTGTGCTGTAACAATATTGATTTTGTTAAAAAAATATAGAGTACTTATCTTTTAGCTATGCATACTGAAATATCTACGGATGAAATGATCAGGTGCCTGGGAACTTCTTGACGTGTGTGTGAGTGCATGTGTGTGTGCACATGTGTGTGTGAATATGGGTGTGTGCGTGCACACACATGCATTTGTGTGTGTTGAGGCCATGGAGTGATAAAGTACTGAGGTAGGTGGAGGGGGAACTAAAGCTCCATTACACTGTTCTCTCTGATTTTATATATGCTTGATAATCTCCATAATAAAAGTGTTTTCATTACTAAGGCTTCTATCTATCAATGGGTCAGGGAACTCCCATGGGGTTGGGCTGTGGGGTCTGGTGGGAAGGAACCAAGAAGGAGTCACCTGGGCTCTAATGAGGACACCCTGCA